TATTTAATCGTTTCCTGTTTGGTATTTTAAACAAAGAATTCTCTGATTTTCAACTTCTCTCCTGTCTGCAAACAGTTTAAGCCCTGGATTCCTCTGTTATTCACAGGTGAATGTATTAAAGACAAGTGTTATGAGCAAACCAGGGCAAACTAAATCCTCTCACAAAACAACACAGGCCCTTTTAATTCTGATATTACTTCCCTATAAAATACTAAACCTTGAGTTTTAGAGCACCGATGTGCTCTGTTCCAGTTTAGCCATGTTCATTCTAGGTCAAGGAGATAACTCTGTGAGCTTTGAGTTTTCTTTGTAGCCTCTTACTTCTCTGGTGAAAAATAAACTGCAGTATAGTCTCAGAATTAACACAGTGTTTAAAGTCTGAAATGCTGTGGTTTAATGAGAAATATTTTGCAATATAATTACTGCTCCTAAAAACATTTGGAAGGAAGACAGAAGCGACTTTATGTAGGTGATAATGAACTGTGAGGCTAATTATGAGATGTAATATGCATATATTTATATATAAATTGATAAAATAGTAATATAAGTTTTAAGACTTTAAAAATGTCTAGGAAATCTGTGTTTGGGCCAAGAAGTAGCTTTTCAGAGAAGATGGTGTGATGTGCATCTTTTAAGTACACTGGCAGCACTGACAACCCATACCCTTCAGATTTAGATTCCAAAAGAGCAAATTATTTTGAATTTTGAGGTGTGTAGATCTTAGGTACTGATTATTTAGTTTATATTGTAAGACTTTCTTTTTTCTTGAACCGAATTCAGCATGAAGTTTTTAAGGGTATCTCCACTATACAAGTTATTACCATAAATTATGGGATGGTAGTGGAAAGACAAAGACATCAAGATTTTACTTTGTTTCTCCTGAGCCTGGTTTTGTAAGAACAGACTTATAAAAACTAAGCTGTTTTATCTGGTATATGGTAGATTATCTTCAGTAGAGAGATAAGAGGGAACAAGTTGACCATTCAGAAATTACAGTTGTTGATCTATGAAACAGATGGAAAAAGACTTTAGTTAAGCTGATTGTGTAAAATGGAGTATAGCAAAGAATCTGGGTATGAAAATAAACTTGCAGTTCCATGGTCACACTGAACCACATATTACAGCATATTGGCATGTGATTTATGTATTTGTAGGGGGGATTTATGCTGTACTGAGATGGTTATTAGACACCACAGGAACAGAAGTAGCTTTTATATTGTTAGATTGAGATAGGTGGTGTAAATACTGATTTTCAAAGCGCGAGTTAACTCATCCAGGTTTTTCATTTTAAAATCCTTTCTTCCATTATAATTAATATTCAGTTTTAGCAGTGTGATCTCAGTGTAAAATCAGCTTATCTTTCAGACTGACATGGATTAGGAATCTTGTTTTGATAAACAGTCTACAGACCTTCTGAGAAATCATAGGGCTTATGCATAAACTTTGAAATAAGGACATGTAAAAGTAAATGGATTTGACTGAGTTTTAATGTGAACAGATATATAGAGCCTGACCATACAGAAAGGTCAGACTGTAGATATGCTTTTGTATATCCACATGAATTAAGTTGTTCCATTTCAAGCAGTAATTTACTCTTGGCTTCCCAGGTAGAGGTGCCAAGATAATTTTTTAAATTTTTTTTTTTTTACTACTTCTGCTTGGTATCCTTTCAGATAAAGGATTATACTTACACAGTTTGGAAACTTCAATGTCCTGAACAATGATGTAAGAACTTTATTTAATTTGTTTTGCAAATAAGTCAAGCCTTTTTTCCTCATTTAGCAGATGTGCTGGTAACACACAAAATTCTTTGCACCAAGTAAAAACCAAACCAAAGTGTATTTTAATGACTTAAAAGTTCTGTGACGTGTTCACACAAGTACCTTTTCTTGTAAATCAATGACTGTTCTTTTCACAACCCTTCTTTGTATTAGTTTAGTAAAAATAGACAGTAATTCTTATAATGTGCCATTGTAATTTGTATGTGCTATGGGGGTCATCTTGTCTATAGCAGACAAGAGAATCTCATGCATTTTAAGTACAAATTGGTTTTTCTGCCACCACTGATATATTTCAGTGTCAGGAACAGTGTTAAGCCTCAGTTTCCTGTACCACTGTTGTCATGTCTATAAATGCAGATGTCTCCTCACAGCGCTCGCAAGAGTCGTGATTCTCAGTCACCTTTATTTTCATGTCGGTTTTATGTTTACTTATACAATTTTTATCACAATTCCTGATTCATATTAGATAGTTTGCTGTCTAAGCTACTATGATAAAAGGTAAAAATTAGATATAAATACCAAAAAGTGGTTCCTGCTGTTGGTCTTTTCCTGGTCAGTGTGTGTCTTGTGAGCAGATCTTTGCTAATGAGCATTCAGAGTTAACAGATGGTATTGCAGATATGGGTACAACTGAGTGCAAAATCAGGATGCTCCTAGAAATGTAAGAATTTAAGATGGAGACAATGGAAAAAGGCTAAAAGCACTTAGATGTTGCACAAATAAGAGAGGTGGTATTTTTCACTAATGCCAAAAAAAGTTTAAAGACCACAACATCACCCAGACTGAGACTGCAAAATGAATATTAGATTCTTTTGCTGAAAATGCCAGCTTTCTGTACTCTGAGTGATACCAATCAGTCCACCCAGTTAGTTTTTCTCTGCAGTGAAAGGAATCTGATTATAGTGGAAGTGAAATTATGGCTGTAATAGTTAACCCTCATTTCTTAGAGCACAGCCAGGTAACTGAACCCAACACTGCCAGAGATGTGTAGGCATTACTATTTTTTAAACACATCATGCACCAGTTTATGTTTCAGAATTTTAGGTTCAATGCCAGTTTCACTTTGCATCAATACTTCATTTTCTTGCCATTACTATTTCTAGAAGCCTAGAGAAATCATCATTCCTTTGGGTTTGTGTGCACCTATTGCCACAGTAAGGGTTGGATCTGCCATTGCAGTAATACAGGAAAGCTCCCTCTAGGAGAATTTTGCTCTGTATTGGGAATCTGGGGCAGGTGTTAAACAGGCAGGAGTGTCTTGACTTTAATCCCTAAGCCAGAACAGATAGCAAAGAAGGGGGGAAAGCAAAGCTTGTAGAGGTGGAGTTGGGAATACTGGGCAAAGTTGCGCTCAAAAGACATGACTGGCTGTGGGAGCTCACCTGTGTGCTCCGGGGTAGCCAAAAAGCACCTGTGCTCTGACCAGGGATTGGGAAAATTATGAGAGACTGAAATATCCAAGCCATTTGGGAACTTCTTCAATAGAGCTGTTCCCTTTTCCCCACAGACCTGGGCTTTGGAGGCTTGCTATTCATTTTATTAATACAGGTTAACTTAGGGAAGAGTAGGGATCATGTTATTTTTATCACATGGATAAATGTAGCTCAAAAAGAAAACTTAATCATGCAAACCTAGCACTTACAGGAGTTATACAGATAAAAATGACCCGTGTAAAATTACATACTTGTAAAAAGATTCTGGAACTAACAGACTGTCAGAAATAACATTCTATGTCTTACAGGTCATGGTGAGGTATTTATTACTGAAAGTGTAGAATTTACCGAAAATATTACTGAAAGTAAATGAAATCTGTCAAATGTTTTAATTTAATATTCAAAAATTTTTCAAGTCAAACTTTACCAGATTTTTTTTTTAACACTTATTTTTGTGTGAAGTGCATCTAAAAATAATACCCATTTTCATACCTTCAAATTGGAATACATTCTGGGACCAGCACAAAAACTGACACCAGGATACAGCCCAATGGGTCTGATATATGAGCTTCTGATGAAGTTCTTTCTGGACATCAGAAAGCAGTAACTTTGCAGTTGGGAAGTGCTGAAGAAAATCAATTCCCCTCTTTTTTTTTTTTTTTTCCTTAAATGTCATACATATTAAGATAATTTTTTTTTGTTTGTACTACAGTCAGCACAACAAACACTGGTTTGACACCTGTAAATAAAGGCTATGCCCAGTGCAAGGTGGCAGGTCAGCTTTAGAGAAAGGTTTCGCATACAAAAAATACCAGCATAAGCTCAAACCAACCAGGAAATAAAATGCAGACTAATGTGTAAGTCATGGTAAGTATTGTTGGCAAATTGTGATGTGTGCAGCAGTGACTGTGTGTTACCCAGAGCTGCTGAGAGGGCCACTGAAACAAGCCCGCTGTACAGGTGCTAGATTGTGATATAATAAATAGTCTGCACAGTATCACACTATATAAAAAGTTTAAAAACCACAATGAGAATATATTTTAAAAAATTTTTTTATATTGTAAAAATTTTAAAATTAGGTCCAAACCACCATTAAAAAAAGGTATGAAATGTGCAATTTTGCAAGTGGAAACAAGGGGCACAAGAAGGGTTCCATAAGGGTTAATAAGAGTTGCTTTGTGAATTCTCTTTGTTCCCAGTATCTTCATAGATCTGGTAATCACACAGACCTCAGAGCAGTTCCCTTCAGGCAAGTAGGACACGAGCTAAAAGTATCACCACTGATTTCAGTAGGGAAGATTGGCTGCAACAAGGAGTAAAAGGCTATTTTAAGAGACAAATGTACAGTACAGTCTATTTATGTAAATACTTGGAAAACGCAGGCACAAAACTGTTTCCCAAGTGCAGAGCTGTGAAATCAATGTGCCATATGGAGCTGTAATATATGGCAGAATATTTTAGAATCCTAAACCTTGAAAGAAAACCGTCGTAAAAGTCTGCATCTAGAATAACACGACTACTCACTTGTGTTTTAACCAAAAGCTGCAAAGATTATGTATTTCCAAATGTGCTAAAATATAACTTAGTATTTTTAAAAGGCAGTAACCCTTTTCACTTATTTCTCACAATGGATAGAGTGAGGAACTGGTAATTAAAGGCAACAGAAACGGTAGGCAAGTGAAACAGATGGCTGTAACATAATTCTTCAGCCTTAACTGGCACTTAACACTAACTCTACTTCCAATTTGACAAATACAATAAGACACCTATGTTGACATACACGGGGTGCACTTAACGACTTTTATTTATGCAAGTGAGGTATTAAAATTGTCTTCAAAAGCAGACGTCTAAAGAAGAGAAAAATGGTAGCCAGAAGAAAATAGTAGCCATTGTTTTCAGTGTTCAGTGATTAGTACTTGTAGGGTTTTTTCTTCCAATATCCTTTCTTATAATTTCCATGCAAAGTCTCTGTCTTACTCTTCCACTAGATAGGTAGCTTGGGAAGATGGGAGGAAACTCCTCATTTTTCAGCAAGAATTAGTTATGAAGACTGGGGGGGGGTTTAAATGAAGTATAATAAGCTAAAAGTGTGTGCATCTCACACGCTGCATATGGTACACTTTTAATATATACACTGTCATTGTACACAAGCATCTTGTATATACACTGATACCACCTTCACCAGGAAGTCAAAAGTCAATAGACAACGAACCTTGTGCCGTATCCTCCCTTCCTCTCACATAAATTTCACATGGAATCTCCTCCATCACCCTGTCTTCTATACCCTGCTCAGGGCACTCATGAGCTTGTTTGAACGTGTAAGTACTTTTCTTGAAGGTGCTGTTAAATGTTTTCATGGGCTGGGGCTGCGCAAAGTCGTTGCGGAAGGGCAGTTCCATGGAGCTCAGGTTGGTCCTGCTCTGTTTGAGGTTGGAGGCCTGGGAGCCACAGTGGTGGTCGTGGATGCATCTGGAAGCTGTTGAAGGGCGGCGCATTTTCTGATAGTTCTCGAGTTCTTCTGATAAATCTGCCAAATCTGCAGAAATTTCTTTGTCCCTTAGTGAAAAGAGTTCATAATGTGGAGGATCAAATACTTCCTGGAAACCGGTTTTATTGAAGGCAGTCTTGCAAGCCATGACCTTTTTGCGAGGTTGCTTTACTTGCACTAGAATTGAAATGATGAGAAGAACTAAAACTATCCCTGATGTGATGCCAATGATTGTCCCATGAGTTTTGGTGATTTGTTCAAACAACCCAGTTCTTTTCTTTTCTGCAAAGAAAAAAACGAGGATCACGATAAGACTTACTATTTTCCACACTTCTGATAATGTATTTCAACAAAGCAAATTATGGTGATTGCCATGCAAGTGCCATATTAATAAAATGATTTAATGGCACTGGAGACTAGACCAGTATGTCAATGAGATTTGTCTAATTCCCTGTCATTAGTGGCTACCATATGATAATTCAGTGGCAGGTGGAACTCTGTGACCAGTGCATGCTGACTCAGCTGGGGGGTGATTTCCCTCCTGAACCTTAGCCCATCAGTTCGTCTTCAAAAATCTGTGAATTAAATAGGCTTAAGTTAACCTTAAATAGGTTAAATCCAGCTACAGATGATGCTTCTCTTGCCATGGTTTGTTCCTGTAGGCAACATTCCCATTGATGTCCGTGGAAGAAAACTTAGATTTAAAATCAGCTAGTTCTTCTTTAAAAGTGAAATATTATCACAGTGATATCAGATATATGAATGACTGTGCTGTTTGCTTTCACATCTCTTGGATATGTAATGGCTGTGTCTATTTGTGTGAGGCTGTTATGCCTAATTCAACACAGGGAGCTTTAGCATAGATATATTCGTTATAGGAGTCCAGTAATCAAGTCAGTTGAGGGAAAAAAAAAAAAAGGAGAGGGGAATCAACCAACCCAAATCATATGGGAATTTTGGCTAGTACTTCATATGAAAACACACAAGATGGCAGCATCAGAACAAGGCAGTTTTCCATATTTAAAATTCTTATTTGAAGACTCAAATTTTCCAGTTGGATTTTTTTTTTTTGTAAATGTTCTTGTCCTAGGGGACTGAAAGATTTCTACGCTGAGGTTCTACAACATCTGCTAGTGGGGGAGAAAAGCACTTAGGAATATGCAGAAGAAAATGCAGTAGCGTAAATATTGCATAATATTTTCAGATATCTGGCTCCTGGCATCTGAAAATGTGTGTACCACACACAGTGCATGGAGAGAGTTTGACACCATCATGTGTTATTTGAAACTATCCATGTACTAAACAGACTCCCAAGGAATTGGAATAGGAAGTTACATTTCTGCTTCAGAGTTTGGACTGTTGGAGGTATGGATTCCTGTACTGTGGAAGTTCTCTTATCTGCATCTAGGTTTCTCAATTCTTGGAAGATATTTTAATCAAAAAGTTGTTACGCAAAAGGTGATGTCTTCTCTGGTCTCTTAAAATAAATTGCACACAACTGACTTTTCTAACAATTTTTGTGTTACAGGGCTTAGGCATAAGTAGGTCACAATATGCTCAGATTTATGTAGCTATTGATATGGATGAAATGAGAACTCTGGGTGCCTGCAGGAACTGAGCACAATTGTGAGCAGCTTTCTTTTTAAGGCTAAATATTGCTTATTTGGTTGCATCAGTCTTCCATAGCTGGCAATATGGATCTAGTCTTCAGCTGCCTCTAAATTATCTGCTGTGCAAGTATTACAGCAGAATTTAGCTTGCATTCAATATAAAACACGATAGGTTGTTCAGCACCAGAAATAGCAATTTACAAATATTGGGAAAGACACTTTCTTCACATTACAATATGTTTTTCATGGAATTAATTTTTTTTAATGCTGCAGTACGTGAGTGAAGTGTGGATTCTAGGTGAGATTCTAGAAAGCATTTGGTAAGGATGGGAAAGAGATCTAGAAATTGCACTTAATATTCAACATTCCCTCTTATCAAAGCTAAGGGTTGTTTAGAGGAAGCTTACTTGTACATTTAGAACTTGGAAGCTATGGATCAGTTTTGTTAGCTGGAAAGCTTCCACAATATACCCAACATTAGAGTATTTATTAGTGGTGTGAATTCTTTTTGTTTACCCAAAAGGCAATTAAAAAGTAGGGGTGCTTTAACAGAATAACAATTTCCTCAAATCATGAGAATTTTTCCTACAAAACCTGATACTGAAGCAAGTCTTTACTGCAGTTGTGATGGTTTCAATAACACTTCTTGCCCCTGTGTTCTAGAGGTAGAGATTTACACATGTCTGTTTTCCATAAGTGATTACTTCATGCTTCCTAACAATTCCTCCTTCCTCCCATCCTTTCTCACACCATATGCAACAGTTGAATTTACTCTGAAATAGCCTGAGATTTATTACTCAAAACAAATGTTTTAAAATTGTATTTGTCTTCCAGGATTGTTGCTTCTATTTCAGCCCTGAGAAAGGCTTCTCATGCTTGAAAGCTTGTTTGTGTTTTTCCAGCTCTCTGTTTTTTTTTTCTCTAAAAGGCACTACCTGTCCCTATAATCCTTTAGATAAAGTTTAAAAATGGACAGGATGCAGCCTGGAAAATACAACATTCTCTTTCTTATCAAGCTGATATCCTTTTAAAATAGAGAGTATATGCTGGAGAGGAAGAAATGTAGTTATGGAGCACTAAGATCAATATTCAGGATGCTTACATGTCTCCTGAGTTTAAATATAAAATTTGGAACACCTCCTTGAGATTAGCAGAACAGTGTCTTCAGCATATTTCCAGGAAAAAGACATTTCATGACTTTCTTGAAAGGCAAACTGACCAGCTTAGCTCATAAAGGCTCTATGTTGCACTATACCCACCTCTGCAGTGATTCTCGTCCCAAGGGTATGCACAGTTCTGGATGCCATTGCAGACTAAAGAATTATTGATGCACATGTTGCTATGGCAGAAGTAAGTGTTGCCTGAGCAGGGAGCTGCAGGAAAGAGGAGAAAGAAAACATTCAGAATTTTCAGTAATTGATGCATAGCAATAAAACTAGTAAGTTTGTGTTTGTTTTTCTAACATGCTAGCACACTCTTTATCTTTGTTTCAAACACAATTGCTTTTCTTACACATCACTAATTGTCAGATGATTTCCTCTCTCTCCATGTGGTTGCTTTCAGGTGTGTTGTCTATGCTACAAAAAAAAAAAATTCTTGTTCCAAGTGGGTAGGTACCAGATAGAGACAGTCACAAAATACAGATAATGGAAGAAGGCTTTGATTCGTGCCTTTAAAAACTTAATACTTAAAAATCTCATGCTTGCCATCAATTATATATTTATTCTTCTGTGCATCTGCTGTGTGGATGTTGTGAGGCAGCCCCTGAACATCTGCATTTTAGAGCCCATTAATATCTTAAGGCAAATCAGATTTCAGCTTGTGGAGGACTGTTTCAGTAATTGCAAGAGATTTCAATAACTGGAGGCATCTAAGTCATTCCTGTTTCTGAATCAAAAGCTCTTGGATCCTCCTATTAGAGCTAATGCAGGGATTGAGAGAGTACAGTTTAGCTTTTTATCTATCTATATATAGTTAGAAATTTGAAGAAAGAAATTAACTAGAAAGCTGCCCTGGAGATTTTATGTTTTTATGAATATTTGTTATAGCTCCTCGACTTTAGGAAAAAAGATATTAAAAAATAGTAATAATTCTTTTCAGGATGCTGTATAATATACATAGAGAATTATTTATGAATTCAGGACACTGGACAAGAAATTGGTTTTCCCTTTCTCTGTTTCAGTAATGTGATATTTTCATCATTTAAATGTTTATTATTAGTGGATTCAGTTATATATTAAACAGTAAATGGGAAGATGCAGTCAACATTTCTAGCCATTATACCTATATCATGGGAGAAAGGCTAATAATTAAAATGGAAGTGTTCATGATGCAGACTATAAAATAAAAGGCTCTTGGCCTTATTACCACATGTGGGGAGAAAAGACTTAGGTATTTTTTCCTTCTGATTTTGGAAAGAAAGATCGTGCAAGCTTTGCTTTATAAAGGATAACCAGGATCAGAATTTAAACACAGTAGTTTAAAATGGGTGTGTATGTAATAGGCTAAAATATTTCTGACTGTGAGATAAAGGAGGATCTATGAAATTCATGTCCAAAGTGGTGGTTGTGTATGTATGTATATATAGGTGGATCTATATGTATCTGCCGGTGTTTCAATATGGACCTGTACAGAGTTGTAGTTCTTTTGGAGGCCCAGAGGAATAAACAGGAATGTAAGACACATTCCCTTTCTTATTTCCCTGAACAGCTGGTTCTGTATTTTCGGCTGATCCTTTCTGCTGCTGCTTCTCCATCCACCAGCACAGTCTCTATTGTACATTTTTGTGTAGTCTCTAACTTTTTGTGGGGATGGGGGGGGATGTCCACAGTTTGTAAAGATGAGACAAATGGACTTAATTTTCCTTTTGTTTGTTATTTGAGGAGTAAGAAGACTAAAAGTCACAATGATTGATCAGTTCCAGTCCAGGACTTCAAGGACATAGCTGGACTCTTCTCATACCAGCTGCCTATGACTGGTGCAGTGTTCGCAGTGTCCTTTGTAACCAGCATTATTCGTGTATTGAATCAAGCCAGAAATCAAATACATTGATTTTTAACATTGCTCTTAGTTGAATTAATTAGTCAAATCTGCAAGTAGCACTAGGTGTGTGTCAGGTGACTGTCATGCACAATTAGTTCATTTATGTAAATCTTTTCAAAAATATTGATCGTTTTCATGGTTGGCTTTATATAATTACAAATCATTAGCAAGGTAGAAGAGAAAGATAGCTTAACAATCTGAAAATGTGTGAATTCACCTTTTTCAGTTTGAACAATTGTTTATGACTAGATTATTTAAAAATACATGGTACATTTTTCAGCCACATACTTTTCAATTACCTGCCAAGAAAGGCAGTGACCAAGTAAAAAAGAATAACCACATACCTTTACAGATTTTCTTCTGCTAAAGACTTTGGGTTGCTTTAAAATTGTAAGTTTGGAAAGTTATCTAGCTTTAGGAGTACTTAGTGTTTCAACCTCTTGCATCAAAAGAAAACAAAAAACCAAACGCCCCCCACCCCCCAAAAAAAAATCCCAAACTCAACAACAAAAAAACCTCTTAGAGCCACATGCAGCTGAGGAAAAGGGAGAGGCTGAGGTGGAGTGGGGTAGTTCCAGATCCGAAACTGAAAGTAGAGCTGCAGATAGGAAGGAGATCAAGCATGTTTTCTAGCCTTCCGACCACCCAGTGTGGGCTTGAGAAGTGCCTGTTGTGGTGTCTGGCAGGGAACTGGAAGGTGGGGGCTAGTGGGAGAGCTCAAGCTCACTCTGGTCCCTGTGTTGTCTTTTTGAAGTAAGTCTGTTTGTGGGAAGGACATAGCCTAGGGCGGTATTATTGCTGAATTCAAATGGAAAATAAGCCTTTTAAGAACGAAGGAAAGCTTTTCTTCAGGAACCACCTTACAGCTGTAATAAAGCAATTATCTAATTTATCAGCTACTATGTGAAAGACACAGAAACAACCTTTTTCATGTATTCCTGCTGAGTAATACACAGCTGATGCTTTCCCTAAATCACTTGAAGTGTCCTGATAGCAGGAGAACAGGCACTTTAAAATCTACTTACGGTCCACAAATGAAGTGAACAGCATCCTGAACCTGCTCAGTCTGCTGCCTTCGTCTGCCCACATCCTCACCACCCCTGTCCCCGTCTGCAGCATCACATCGTTGGCCACGGTGCTGCAGAACTTGGCCTTCAGGTTTTCAATGGAGCTGCTCCCGTCATACACAGCCACAAAGTTTCTCTTGCACTCATTTGAATGCTCCATCTGATAGTCGAGGAACCGCATGTAGATCTGTTAGAGAAGAGAAATTAAAGTCTCCGGGGAAAGAAACACAGAGAAGACAGTTTTCTTTCTTAGCAAATATTGAATAAGATGCATTGTTCCCTTACAAACACGGGTAACTCCCAATTCACAACACTTTTAAACTTACATTTTCTCATTAAATGCCCATGTGGAGTATTACCTGAAATTTTTTCTTGGGTGTCTGTTTCACTTCTTCCCACTCCCCAAAACAGTCCTTATTTAACAATTTACTTTGATATATTTCTGGTCCCTTTGGAAAAAAAAGTACAAAGCAGCACACTTGCTGAAGAAACCCCCAAGCAGCTCTGCTAAATGGGAAGTCTATTACTCTAGAAGAGATACAAGGAATGCATAAATGTGCTGAAATAATTTTAATGGTATTTTGACTGTTCTCATTTTAATTCATAAAAATAATGTTAAAATAGAAGGGAAGGAGTCTAGTCAGAAAAGCTCTGAAGTAAAATAAGGAAATTAAAATTTATTGCTTCAGAATGAAAGCTAATTACTGAACCATAGCAGTGTTATGGAAGACACAAACCATGAAGTCAGGAGTAATTTGAATAAAAATGGAACTGAGAGAGAAAAGTAAGCTGGCTATCTAGGAAGAGGTAATAAATTTAATCTTAATTCTTCAAAAAGCAGAAATCTAATCCAAGAAAAGGCAGCATATGTGTTTGAACATGTGCAGCAAGGAAATTAGAAGATTGAGATGGTACTTAAAGAGTAAGGAAATAATTTATTTTGTTGGAGCAGGAATCTCATGCAAGGCAGTAATTTAGTTAGAATGACATGAACACATCATAAGGGCTTTTTAATCTCTTAAATGGTTGTATTGGAATTCTCAGAATTCCAGTGAAGGTTTATGAGATATGAAACTAGGTCATCTATGCATGCTGCAAAGGCCATTTTCAACTTTAAAAATTTCTCAGATAGCCCTTGTTTCGAGAGAAGAAGTCTGTCCAGGTGGAGGCTGAGGTCTCCTGCTCTGTGAGAGAAGAGCTGCTCCTCCTGTACCACGAGCTCTTCCCTGTGTGCTCAGATCAGCCTGGCTCCAGCCTGTGTGTGTTTTGAGGACTGTCTCTGATCACCTCTCTGGCCTGTGCTATGGATGCTAAAGGAGTTATTTTGCACAGTGTGGATTTTTATGCATCTCTGCCCAATGAAAAGAATCTCCAAGTCCTGTTTAGGTTGTGAATGAGGAAGTCAGAGTGGATGAATCCCACACCTGCACCTGCTCTATTTACTTGGTTTTCTGCCCTTTTGCCATATCTTGCTTTTAACCCTAGCGAGTGCCAAAGCCTTTCAAAACTGAATTATAAAGAATTCACTAAAATAAAATTAACCACCTTAGTGTGTGGGGAAAAAAGACACACACCACATCCCCCCATACACCTAACAGGCTTTCCTGAAAACATGGTAAAAGAGTACAGGGAAAGACAGGTGACATTTGTACCCCCTGGCTTTTCCTTCCCAGTGCTTCCAGAGGCAGGTTGCCAGCACTGCCTTCCCTTGCACCTTCTGTCCAAAGGTGCAGCCTGTGCCATATCATCTCATGCTTCACCTCACTGTTTTGTGATTTTCAGTATACCCTTTTTTTCTTTTCCTCCCCCCCTGCTGTTTCTGTTAGATTTACTGCTGGAAATTCTCAGCTACATTGAGAGCCTGTCTTCCATTGATGTCTTATCTCACAAACGTGGGTGTGAGCTGTAAGTGCTAGTATTTGGACTGAGAGATGGTATTTTCTCTTAATGATTGACTTTATATATCTGCTACAAAATTACAATGAAAACTAAAAATAATTTAGCACATGTGTAGTAGAGCTATTATTTGTATGAAAAAAAGGAATAATTCCATTAAAAGCCCTCACCTCTTCCCAAGATCACTGGGTTAGCATTAGGCAAATATAAAAAGTCCTTACTCTTAGATTATATTGATATTATCCTTGTAATTTTCTGAAATCTAGAGGCAATTTATTACATATATGACAGATGCTTCTCTTATGCAGATTTTAAAGGTACTTTAATTGCTGTAGTTGTGTCAGTTTTAAAAGTTTATTTTTATTACAAAATCAGATTGAAGAAATTAAAAATGTCTATGGTTATTTTTCTCAAGAGAGAACCATATCAGATCTAATGGATTTTATCACCGTAATTCTAACAGAACTGAAGCTTGAGAAACCACTTTCAGAATACTAAGAATTATTTTTCTGTAATGTTTTAAATCAATAATTTAGGATGATGATCTAATCTCAGGACTCACCAAACTATAACTCTGCCTTCTTGCAGCATTCAATAATTTATTAAAATGCTTAAGCATAAGACCTGGTGCACTCAAGTGGCAATGTAGAGAGAAAATGGTTTTATTATTGTTTCTGGTAGAACTGCTATTACTTAGACTAGGATAGGGCTCTTGGGAGTTGAGTCATTTCCTCAAAGGCTCAAATATATTAATGGACTTTTACTTTCTTTCTTGTCTTGTCCTCTTGTTATCATCTTTTAGGTTGCTGTTTTAGAATGCACTTGGAATTTGGTTAATAGGGCTGGTTAGTTAACTATAAGGAGTGTGTAAGAAGGCAGAGAGGTTTGTCATCTTGGTAGCTGCTGCTTAGAAATATTTTTTAACTTTTATGTACATGCAAGCAGAAGCAAAATTAAAGATATATATGCTATAAAAAATAAAAATATGTACTCTTCTGTGCAACTCATAATTAACAAATACATGATTCTGAAACGTGTAGCTGTTGGGTTTTTTTAAACAGGCTGTAGCTATTGTATTTTGGAATTGTGAATAGGATTTTATCCTTCTCTCTGCCTAACAACAAATCTCGAGTTTTTTAATGAGCATAAGACAGTGATGTTTTTGTAAGCAGTCTCTAGTTCTGCAGCACAATCATAAATAGCAGGTACCTGAGTAACTAATGCTGATTTCTGGCTCCAGGAGCTGATAATGCCCCTTTAGGGCTTGGGCAGAAAGGGTCCAGCAAATTTTATTGAGGCACTTTAAGAGACTGTGATCCTCTAGCTAAGTCAGAAGAGCGATAATTTCTCAGCTGTTTCCAGGTGAAAGCTGAGCCTTTCCTTTTAGCTCAGACTGCTGATGAAAGTGGGTTTTAAGGTGCTGGATTGTGAATGAGATGGGAGAAGCAGGCACGTGTTATGTTGACTTTGAACAGAACCAAATTCTCCAACAGAACCACTGGAAGTAAAATGCTAAACCATAGCAGTGAGATTTACTGGAAATTATCAAAGGTGTTAGCCAGCATTTTTGCCTGCAGTCTTCCAATAAAACCAGAGTTCAAGTCAAATGCCCTTGAAAATTGTTGCTTAAACAGTTTTCACAGTTATTTGGTATTTGAAGTTTCAAATAATAGGAAGACAGCTCTGTGGACTTGTGTAAGTTTAATTTCAGAAACAATTATCTATCTGGATTTCCTAAACCACTGATACATAACTCATTTCAGTGAAAGTAAGACATTATGCAAATCACAGCTAGTGACCATTCCCTGTTATGAATGTCATGGAAACACATTATATACTGAATTATGTGAACAAAACCCACCTTAGCATTTGGAGTAGCCTTAATTGTCCATATACAGTCAACTGCTTGTCCTGGCTTTGTTTTTCCTTCTTGTTCTACTTGACTGGAACGTACTATTCCATCAGCTCCTGAGAGCTCAAATTGGCAGTCTAGGGAGAAGATATACCTTGCTGTCAAATGCAGTATGATATTAATTTAAAATTTCATGTATAAAGAAATTGTTACTGTAATACTAGACCTGGAATGGGATTTAAAATGCCTCCTAGGTAAGTGAAGTCAGGATCTGCAATAGAAAGAAGTTATGAATCACAAGGACTATCAGTGCTCGAGAATCACTTCAAGGTTTAGTATTATCTGCAGATTATGTCCATTTTTTAGTATGTCACAATAAAAATTACCAGAAAGTTTACTGAATCAATTGGAGGGGAAAGAGGCAAAGTTTTTTTAGATGAGAACATTATTCCACAACGACTGACCTTATCAGAATAAGGCAATTCTATCCTGGCAGCTCACATTTCTAGCATAACATTAAAAATGACAATTCAGTATTTTGTTCCTACATTATGTTCTGAATTTAACTATTCCAGTTTTCACTGAAATTGCTGGAGCTCCACAAGAGTGTAAGGGATCTTTCTGTGTGCAGAAAGGTTATCTAGATTTATTTTATCAGACTGCTGTCTGTCTAGTTTTGAAAAATTTAAACCGAGTTTAGCAGAATATATCAACACTTTGAAATTGGTAACTGCTGTTAATAAAGAATGTGAAGAAGGACAGTTCAATCCTGAAGATACTTTTTCCCTGGGTACCTTTATCTCTTCTACTAGGCCAGGTAGTGCAGTTCGAGACCTCATTTCTGAAGGCAGAATTTCACCTTGATTCCTCCTCCATCTCCTTTCCCCTCACGTGACGTGTAGGTAGTGTACACATCTGTAGTAAACCTGTAGTAGTACACTGTCTGCACAATACTAGTAAAATAAGAATATACTTTTTCATAATGATTAACTGATGGTACTTGATCCACTGAGACTAGAACTTGCCTAAAAGTGAGTCTGTAATGGGCTGGGATATCCAAGGCTTCCACTTCAGTGATCAGGTTAGTGTTTCCTCACAAATCAGCACAGACACGTTTAAATGTATATTTGAAGTTCCAGCCTGGAACGATGCTAATTTAGTGATGTTTATGAAATGCCTTTGGAAATGGACTTAGCAAAATGCCTAAGTACTGTCCCTATGGAAACATTTATTCCCACTGGACTGGCCACCATGTTTATCTGAAGTTTTCAAGTCTAAATCCCTAAGCAGTAATATATAATCATAGATAGTGTATTCATCTGCTGTAGGGGTAAAGACCAGTTGGGTAAAGGTGACATTAAGTTATGCCTGTGCATACATTTGTAAAAGGAACAGAACTGACACTTTTATATTACCTTTCGTCCCAAAGGATAATAAAATGCTGATAACCACACATGTAGTATCCATGAAGTACAGTAGTCAAGCATTGCACAAGGTCAGATTTTCATGTAAGAATAATGCCCTGCCAGTTTTAAGTGGCCCCACAGAGCAGATGTTCTTTTTGTTTGTCTAAAGGCACTGTCAGCACATTATCCTCTCCTTCATCCCTGTAAACTACACAGTACTGTGACCAAAGAGCAGCTCTGTTGTCTGAGCCTGTGGATTGAGGGCATGTCGTTCTACTGAGAGCTGATGCTTGGACTGTATAGAAACGTCCTCTGGCTTTTCAGAATGGAGATTTAAAATGTTTTGCATCTGGCTGGAGTGCTATTGTAGATTTGCTTTGGGTGTTTTTGTCAGTGTCTCATACTCCTGGAGGACAGGCAGTTGAAAATGCAGCTGTTGGTGTGCAGAGAGGCTCCTTCCATTACTACCACTGGTGAAACTGGTACGAGGCAGAGGAACAAAGAGGGATGCTGCTGAAGACTTCAGCATGAACAAGATAAACTGTCTTCTTCACCAGCAAACTACAGACCTGTAATTTCCTTCAGTCAACTTTCCAAAGTGGTTTTAGTCAAGTATCCCAAGTGGGACTGAGAGTGTGACTGTCACATTGTCACTGTGTGACACCATAAGTATTAATGATGAAATGCAGCTCTAGACTGAGAGCTCAAACACACCCACAGAGTTCCTTAACTCAGGATTTTAGACATCTTTACCTGGTATAAACGAGTACTTTGCTTGAAATCCCTTTCCTTCCAGCTCCTCATCAGATGTAAACTTGATCCACATAAATCTCCCTGTTGATCTAATTAGCGCAGGACTTTTCAAACCACAGTAACGATTGATGAGAGGGGAGAAACCAAAAGGTCCATCTCGAACCTCCAGATGATCAAATCGACATTCAAATGAGGGTTCTATGTAATAAGGTTCATCAAAGGTCAACTCAATTCTTTGTCGTGGAGCAGCTAGACACAAAAAAATCGAGCAAAAGATTAAATGAAGGTCTAGATAAAAAAACATTAAGACGTGAAATAATGAAGAGACAGGCCTCCAAAACAGCAAGATAAAAAAGAGAGTGGAAACTTCTCAAAACATATCTGGCAGTCTGCTACAAAATCTCAGATACACTGTAATAAAAATTTAAAATTATTTTGTAAAAGATACTTTTGCATAGAGTTTTACAGGGTTTTTTTGCTTGCCAATCTTCATTGTTGAAAAATTTAATGCAGCACATGTAACATATTAACATATATGCAGAGGTATTCAAACAAGGTTTAGTGTTAAGATATAAATTAAAACCAGTGTTATGCAAAAGCAAAATACACAATATAGGACAAAACAGTGAAGTATGCAGAAAAAAATGGAAAAGAGGAAGATATGAAGAACTACTCACTGGTATATTTCTTAAAGTCCAAATCTGCAGATCCATTGTCAGAAGACAACTTTTATTAGATTATTCAGAGAAGCGTAAAAGCTTCAAATATGTTATTAATATGCAGGTGGCTAAAGATGTTGGCAAGTTTGAATCAGTGGCAGCCTAATATCAGGATCTGGGTCAGCCCCCTAAATCCTGATGAGATGCAGCTATGACTACTTTGAGACTGGACTTTCACATCCACGGCTTTATACTGTGTGAATAACTTCAGTGTTCCTTGCTCTTGGCATCTCTTGAGCTATGTGAACTTCCAGATACTCCCTGGTATCTGGAGTGCCAGCACCAAGGAATCCCACGCTGGCTGCTTTCTCTGAATGCAAAAAGGATTTACTCAGGTGCCTCTAACGCTCCGTTCAGACCTTACGCCTTCTTTATACGTGACTTACACACAGTTGTAGCTGCTTGTGCACACTGGCAGGGGGCTGCAGGAAGCAACAGATCTTGGCTAGAAATTCTAGAGGGCCTTGGCCTCACTCAGGTACCCACAATGTTTCTGTGTTGGGACTGTGAGGAGAGGCTTGGGAGCTGATTCTGTGCCCATGTCAGCTGCCTTGTTTGGGCCCTGAAGCTGGACAGGCTGTGTGTGTTCTCTGGTGCCCTCACGGTCAGGCAAGACTCAACACTTAAACTGTGCATGTGTACATGCAAAAAGGAGAGTGTCTGTCAACCACCACTATACTGTACAAATAAAAACTCACTGAAACCTATTACTTGAAATATTTCAATTAATTGATATGAATCAGATGATTAAGCTGACTAACATTTTTAGCTGACTTCAGTGGGTTTTGTGGGTGTATTCTAATAAGAGGAAAAATAATTAGAGTGTCTCAAGTTTTGCAGCCTTTATCCAAGATATTCTCATTGGAATGTGGCTTTATTCAAGTTAATGACATTTTTTTGTCCTCATCACATTATTTTAATAGTGCCTTCGGCAGTGCTAACAAATCTCTGTATTTTTAGTACAGTGCTATGGCAGTCAGATGTATCTTTTTTATTAATGAAGGACAGCATAACGATTTTCTAACAGAGTATGGTCTGAAAATAGTCTTCCTCTTTTGCTGTTTATTATCAGTGATATTAAGATAACAAGCTACAATTTTTTTCTTAATAGTTTTGTGTCTTCATAGATTACAGTAGATCTGATGCTGCTTTTTCTGGCTGTGAGGGTATGTCTTATTCCCTACAGCTAATTTTTTAATGTTTGCATTTCTTATTAATTTGTTATTATTACTTCAGAGAGCAAATTTAGGTTCTTGTTCAAGTAAATCTATGCAGAATTTATTATATTACCAGTATGGCTACGCAATACTTCACAGCATTGTAAAATGACACAGTCCTATCAGTTCAAGATTATCCATTTAACAGTAAGATTACAGCATAACAAAACAGAAATACAGCATGTACCTTCTAAGATATAGATGCACTCCTGATTTGGGGGGTACATGTTTGGGTAGTTTGGTGAAGCAAAATGTCCTCCATTACTTGTCCTTACCCAGTTGTCACACTGGGTGGGGGGAATGCGATTCACTCCAATATTTTGCCCACCTTAAGCGGAAAAAAAAGTGATAAAACAAATTTCTTCTGCAAGCATGCAGGTTTGATATTGCAAAAGTAAAACACTGGCATGGCACCCAGCCTATAAAAGAGGACAGTAATTTATTTTGGTTGAAAACCCTCTTCTAAGGTGCCTGTTAATATCTAACTATATCTGGGCAGTTTTAATTTGCAGACCTTTGAGAGGACACCCAATGCTGATACAGGTCTTAGCAGCCTCCAGTAAATTACATCACCTTCCACTGGTATCTTGGCAGCTTCTTGATTTATGGGGGTGAAAACTCTCTCTCCTGCAGAAATTTTCCAAGGAAATTCTGTAGGTGTCAGTTCAAGGAATTCTTCTCCTCTTTTAAGTGTGGGTTAATCTCACATACGAGAAAATAAGGCTTGTGAAATCAATGCCTTCCCCACTCAGCAGTCTTCAAAAATGTTTGGGGGTGGACTATTTGAAAAGCTTGTTGTCAGATACAGAAAACATGAATTCCCATGGTGGTTTCTTTCCCACCTCTATCATCTAAAATCATAGAACTTTAACTAGGTAAGTGAACTTTCAAGTTCTTGGTGACTGGATTGCTTTGTTCATTCAGAAGAAAATGCAGCAAATGGGGGAAAATGGAAAATACTAGAATTCATATTGGTAATCCAAGAGCTATTAATACCTGAACACAAGTACTTTCATTTATATTGCTCAATTAAAAATTACAATACTGTTACATTTTTTGACAGAAGATCATCAAACTAAAATTGTACCTTGTGTCTTCTGTGCAACGGCAATCCCTTCCACTACAAGGATTGTTACCAGCAACACTGACGAGAGAAATTGGACAGGAAAAACATCAGTAATTCATCAGAATTATAGACCATTCTCTGCAGCCCTGATTCATGCAAATCCAAGCATTACTGACCAAAACAACTGAGAACACACAAAAATATGTAATTTCAATTTTAGGAAACCAATGCAGTCTACAGGCACTGTTGGTTCTTCTTCCAGGTTCCTTGTGAAAGTATATATTAGAATAGCAGTTAATTGTCTGGGGGGACTTTAAGAGTATTTTCTAGAGTATCTACTAATTTACAAGCATTTTCTAAAATTACATGGTATCTATTTTCTATAAAACTTTTATATCCTGAAACAAGATGTTTCACTGCTATAATGCATCATATTTATCCTAAAACTCTATTTGCCTAATGTGTGCAAAAAGACTTCTCCAGCTTCCAAGAAATTAATATGGACCACAGGATTCCCTGCATGGTCTTATCCCTACATGGATTTCAGGAGCACTATTGAATTGTGCTTGCAGGACTGGCTGTTGTGATGCTGCCACAACACCAGGGATTTCTGCAGATGATGTGGTACTCAAAAATGGGCAGATACAAGTTATAGTGATCTCCTTCCTTCCTTCCTTCCCCTCTCTCTCTCCTTTCCTTCCCTCCCTCCCTTCCTCTCCCTCCTTCCCTCTGGGTTTTTCCTTACATTTACATTTTCCCTGCACCCAAGAAGCATCACTATGAACAGCACATATTAAAGATCCCAGATTCCACTATCCATCAGCAATTTTAAAGCAGGCTTAATGTCCAGATTTTCCTAAAATGCTTTGCCATATCAAATTGTTAGGGATTACCACGAGGGGAAAGGGGAATGAAATGGAGTATATTAATATGCCACTCTTCAAATCTTTCATTTGCTTCCATCTTGAGTATCTCTGCAATTCTGACACATCTCTTACAGAACTAGTTAAGCAGGCCTGGACTCTGCCCTGGACAGAAGCTGGCTGAGGGGAGATAGGATCCAAGTAATAAAATCACAAGTATCATTTAAATTCTGAACAGAGAGCAACTTTTCTCTTCCAGTACAGCAACCTGAAGCTATCAGACAAAGTTAGCAGTGGCATGTTCAAATTAAACAAAGTTTTCTTTTTTCTTTCTTTTTCTTTTCCTTTTTTAATGCACACACTTTGTAACTCATCCCTGAAATAAATTTTATTTCAGAAACCCCTTAAGCCATAAGTTGTTGGAAGACTGGGTTAGTATTTGGGGCAAATATAATTTGTTCTATTTTTATACTCTTTCTGCTTTTGCATCTCTGTGAAAGAAGATACCAGGCTAGATGGACCTTTGATTTGACCTGTTATGGCCATTCCCATGTTCTTAATCTAGCTGTCAGACAGGTCTTACCACTGCAGCAAAAGAAAAGAGATTTCAGCAGGAATTTTATTGTCACACTCAAGAAGTTAATTTTATTTTCTCAGTTTTCCTGTCTGGTTGCTCAGGCATTTTAGTAGCTCATGTTGAAAAGGCATTTTCTCCATCTGTGATTTTCCTTGTGTTGCTGTAAGACTTTGAGCCCTTCAGAGAGTTCCAGAGTGAGCATGTACTGACTGTGAACTACGATGATCTTGACCCAACTCATCTACAGGCTCCCATAATGTTGGCATGGATATATTATCTTGGGAAAAGATAAAAGGAATCAAAGTCTGCTCCTGAAAGTGTCCATATAGCATTTGTGTTTTATTATGTATGTCTCTGCTGCCCTTTCTTCTCTCTGCCCATATTGAAACAGGCTGTATTTCATTCTGAGACTTTCCTCACCAACAACTGCTTTTCCCGTGTAAGTCAAGTTCATAACTGTGGGTGTTTTCTAAAATACCATATGGGTCTTGCAACAGGTGTTATGTTCCTAGAAGCTTATTTGATTTTTAGGGGTGGATTACGAGATAGTAGGTGAAGACTTGAGTAGTTTTTCAATTTCAATCTTTGCAATAATTCTGCATTTTCACCAGTATTAACATACTGAAAAATATGCTTTCTGACTGTTATTATCCCATTACTGGTCTTCAGGTTAGGAGTGTTCACTAGTCTTTAAAGCAAATAAACAAATATCTCATCTTTTTTAATATGACTGACGTTAATTTTCAGCTATTTTTAGTTTTTAATATTTCTCATAAAGGTGCTACTATTTCACAATTATTTGCACTTTATTTTTGCAGCTTCTCTGTTTAAACTGTGCAGAGGTCCAAGTTTAAATGCATGAACTGACAACGCATTTGTGCTCCTGCATTTGTACTTGTCCCTGAAAGAGAGAATCTTGATAGTGGTTATAAAGTTATCAGTCTGTTTTCTCTGGGTTTTTCTATACTGGTTGTGGAGCAACAATTCAAAGTTAGCTTTTAAAGTAAATGCAGTTTCCACAATCCTGTGTAAATCATGTGTCAGCATGTTCTATTGAATTCACCTTTCCTGAAGATGTGCTGTGCCCACCCTTGTTTTGCAAGGACCTAGCAAGCTCTGTAGAACTTGCTGTGCCACTCCTCAAAGTGTGAAATGAGCTCTGAGTTTTTTTCTTAGAGCAACCAAACACAGAATTATGAGTGAAATGAATACTTTTCTGACTAACAAAATGAATCAGTCACTTTCAAGCAACTGAAAAATTTGGGAGTTTGTTTTTCATTTAGTACAGCTCTTTACTATGGCTACCACTGTTACTGTATGCTTTTTAAAAAAACAAATATCAGTGTGCATCTGTTTATTTGTGTGATTGTACTGATAGCAACAATGTAAGAATAGATGTTCAGCTACACTAACCATTGATTTCCCTTCTTGCTGATGTGGATAAAGAAACAAGCCCCCTAAAATGACTTCAGAAAATCTGGTTGGCTTTCTCTAAAGCCTGTGCCATTTCTATAAATAGTCCAGAGCTGTGTATGTGTGTGTAAGTGCAAACAACAGTGCATATTCCTTGCAGAACCGCATGGATATGCAGGCAATTGCAGAAGATAAATGGGCTGAATATTTGCCTTAATGTCTTCCTTTTGTCATGTCGTATGGATGAGTGGAAATAGTAAGTATGGGCCACCTTCTCTTTGTTCCCTGCCCTCTGCAGTCTTAATCTCTTCCACCTCTTTCTTACCCTTCCCTGGCAATGCCCATCCTTCTCATGCTCTCAACAAACCCTGAAGATATATTCAGAGCAGTCCACATAGCAAAGGTTTCAGGGTCTTCCTTTGCCATTACTTTTATCCTGGGTGACAGTATGACAAAGGAAGGAGGTGTCTCTGACTAATAGTCTGGATGTGTGCTGTCCTTATCTCTGTGACTGCTCCAAAAGAGGTGCAGAGGACTTACCTTCTTCCTGAGAGTACTGGGCAGGGATGCCTGAGGTGGTATTGCCTTAAACTGTGTGCATTTACATCCCACATAATGTGGGATAGCAAACAGGAGTCTGGGGGCTGAAAACAAGGCCCATCAATACTCAGGATGAAAGGAAAAGAAAGAAGGGGGGGAAAAATCAGTCAGATATTTTTAGACCTTTCAGACTGTTTCCATTAACCCATTTTTGTGAGCATTTTAAAAACAACAAAGCAATCATTTGGTGTCCTAAATCCATACCACTTCCTGGAAAAATGATTTTGAATCCCAAAGGCTAATTTGGACAATACAAGTCTGTAAGAAGGAAGATGTCTAGGGAAGAGACAAATCCTGTAGGATGGTGCAGTGGAGAGCCAGTGCTGAACCAGTGTCCTGGCACTGCATGCAGGGACACAGACACAACAATTAGAACAGACATGAGAGACTGAACTACTCACTAAGAGTCTTGTAGCACGTCCAGAAGGATGAAGAATGATCTTATAATTTCTGATAAACTGAAATTCAAACAGTTATAATGGACATGAACTTACAATGGGACAGAGTATTCCTCTGCTCCTTTTTTCCTCTTTTAATGTCTCCTACATCTCTCACTGACACAGACTGTTCTTCAGTGCAGATGAAAGACAGGTCTAGACTTAACTCCAGTGTATTATGGCGCAGGAACCAGAACTAGTGAGTCAAAATGCCACTTGAACATGCCTTGGCAATGTAAACAACAGCACACAGAGTGCAGCACTGCATGACTGCATTGATTACCAAAGGGATGGAAGGGGAGGTCTGATTGTGCTGTTTCTAATGGAGGAGTGTGGTGAGAATTTTCTAGAGGACACAGATATTGGAGGCTGATCTTATGAACTTAAGATACTTCACTGGTAAATATTATAAAGGTTAGTGCTTCTGCACCTTATACTGAGCTTCTACTTCATGATATGTACCCTGTAGAAGAGGCCATCATGTAGCCAACAGCAGCACACACATTGAGGCAGACAGATTAAAAGGGGCTTCTTATATTCATGAATCTGGTATTTGCTACAAGCTTGTATTTCATGAATTCTGGTGCATACTTTTGTACTACCATTTAAAGCTCTCATAGTTTTTACCTGTGTGAACATGAACTAGGAATAAAGAAAAAGCAGTAAGCTTCTGTCTCTGCTTTTAAAAGAATGGATTTTTCATTTTCTTCACTTCTTTGCATGAAATATTTTAGATCACATAGCCTGCAGACAGCTGTATAAATTTTGAAGAGTGAAGACACTAACCATACATTGTAAGTTCCTACTATTCTGTTGTTGAAGTAGGCTTATGGAATACTATAAAAGAAGCTCCTGAACTGCTGTAATAAACCATGCAATGTTTGCAGGAGTCAAGATTTTGTTGGCATTTCTTAAAATTTTCTGAAGTAAATCTAAGCTGAAAAAAAGTCAATTTTTGTACTGAAGTATATACAGAGAGGTTTGTATATGTGTGGCTTCTATTTCTCTTTAAAAATGACAATAATATAGTTAGTTTTATAGTAAACGGGTCCTCAACTCAATATTGAGAAATCAGTGTGTTGCTTAAAAAACAAGTGCTTTAGGCTGTAAATCTGACATATGCTTGTACTTTCTGGCAAGATGCATTTCTCAGATTTCATGGGATACAGTAGTGCTCTGAGCTC